TCACCCCCCCATGCACACATACATTTATTTACTTAGTTTGTATTTGGGGGGTGGTGCCTGTATGTGGAGGTCAGAGGACAACTTGCAGTTGTCAGTTTTCTCCTTCCACCACATGGATTCCAGGGATCAACTCAGGCTGTCAAGCTTGGTGGCAGGTGCTTTTACCCACTGACCCATCTTGCAGGCCCTCTCTCTTTTTTTGATCCAATATTTTCATTTCTTGCCCTTTAACTTCCAGAATTTGTTGGTCCCTAACTGAAGTGATTCTTCCCTTCCATACCCCAGTATGCTGAGTCAACTCTTCACAACCATCCTCAGCTCATTGGTCTCTGGTCCTAGAGGCTCACACACCAATCAGCTCACCTTGGACTAATCCTCTAATGTACCTTTCTTTGACACTTTTTCTCTATTCATGTTCTTTGAGAAATGGAGTCCCTTTTAAGATAAGCTACCTTGAATGGAAATTGATGTGAACTGTAATAAAAGCACCCAGCTAAAGAAGTAGAATTTAGGAGCAGCTTGCAATTTCCTCCAATTTCTCTCCTTGAGGATGATTTCATAGCTTCCTGACCCTGTTTCCTTGTCCATGCTTAGAGCTATGAAGCTTGTAACCTGCATTTCCTTTGCTTCCTCTAATTCTACCCTACAAATATGAATTGAGCAGATGTAAGAGACCATAAAATAAAAATTAATAAATTCTCAACTCAAACACTTGAAGTAACATGAATCAAAATGTTTTCAAATTTGCTCCAAAGTTGAATGAATGGTGACACTAACTCATGCTGCGGCACATGGTAAAGTCTCTAGTAAGTTAACCACACGTCTCCTTTGTCAGTATTTTATGAATCATACATTTCCTTCTGTGCTTGTTAACTGTAAGAGCCCAATCACTCACTATTCTGCTGGGTTTTAGCCATCTACCTTTATAATCCAAAATATTTCTGTATCCTATCACAATATAATAATGTAAGCATTTATTAAGCATGGGTGTGAAAAGCAGAGCTAAACACAGACTTCAGAATCAATTGCTTTGACATCAGAATAGAAGTGAATGAACCAAACTGTCAAACAGCTTCCCTGGTGTGCTGTGCTCTTAATGTGAAAACCAGCAATGTGAGAAATATCAGAAAGAATGCTGTAAATATGAAAAGCATGAATGGATAAAGATTTATGTGCTCCAAGAACACAGCTTACATGCTTTACATTTACACTTTGTCCTTTGAATTTTTCTAGTTTTTAATTAGGTACCTGTGCTGGTTACTTTTAACTTCAAGTTGCCACAACCTAGAACCACCTGGGAAGGGAATCTTAATGAGGCATTGTCTAGATCAGGTTGGTTTGTGGGTATGTCTATGGGGGATTGTCTTGATTGTTAATGGAGGTGGGAAGATCCTAAATGTAGACAGCAGCATTTCAGGGCTGAGTCCTGAACTGTGTGAGAGCGAAGAAGGCAAGCCGAGCCAGAGCCGGAGCAGGCCGCGTGGGTGCATTCGTTTCTCTCTGCACTTGATTGTGGGTGTGATGTGACTAGCTCCTTCAAGCTCCTGCAGCTGTAACTTCCCCACAATGATGACCATCACCTGGAACTGAAAGTCAAATAACCATTTCTTCTTTTATGTTGCTTTTGGACAGTAGTCAGTGTTTTATCACAGTCACAAAAATGGAGCTAGAACTTACAGCTTTCTTTTGCTTAAAGATAGATCCAAATCCAGTATAAACAAACAGATCTGAAATGTATTTTAAAATAATGTATTTGTTTCCTTGGGATTTTATTTTATTTATTATTTTTATTTTGTTTTGGTATATGAGTGTATTGCCTGCATGTATGTAAGTGCACCTCTGTGGTGCAATGCCCGTGGAGGTCAGAAGAAGGTGTTGGATCCCTTGGAACTGAAGTTACAGATGGTTGTTAGCAGCCAAGAGGGTCCTCTATAAGAGCAGTCAGTGTTCTTAACTGCTGAACCATCTCTCCAGTCCCAATTCCTTGGGATTTTCAATTTTTTTCTAATGTTTATTTGTTTGGGATGCAGGGACCTGTGCTATGGCATGTGGAGGTCAGAGGACAACCTGAGGGAGTCAAGTCTCTCCTTCCACCATATGGGTTCTAGAAATGAACTCTGGTTGTCAGGCTTGGTGGCAAGCACCCACTTAGCTATCTCATTAACCTTTTTTCTTTCAATTTGTGTATTGTATTTTTTCTAATTATAAATTATAATAGCCATTGCACTGGAAAAATTCTAGAAAGTATATAGATGAAGAAAATCACCTAAAATTTCACATTCAGTGGCCAATTTGACAGAATTTTGAAACCTCCAGGTTTTTAATTTTCTTTATATTTTCACAGTTTTGTACAATACACATATGATTTATGTTAATTTTTTTACTATCAATAAGGACTTATTAAGACACTAAGAACTATCCATGAGCATTGTAAGGACTATACAATATCTCCCGATGCACGTGTCATGTTTAATTAACATTCCTACTAATACTACACATTTAAGTTCTTTCAAAATTTTGCAATTAAAAATAATTCAGTGGCTAGCATATTGGTCACACATTCTACTCCCACTTTGAATTGTTTTACTTTGGAGAAATTTCCTTAAAGGAGAATTATTAGGTCAAACAGTATCCTAATATCAATTGACAAATTCCTTTCCAGGAAGATTAAAACAATTTATTCTCTGCCTAACAACAAATAAAAATTACCAGTCTCACTTCTTTTTTACCCTTTCTTACTATTTTTTTTAAAATATTGCCAATTTTATTAGAAAAAATTAATTTTAATTCAATTCTTACTTTTAAAAAATATTTTATTATTTTTATGTGTGTGTGTATTGCCTGCATGTAGATAAGTACACCCGTGTAGTGCAATGCCCGTGGAGGACAGAAGAGGCTGTCGGATCCCCTGGAACTGGAGTTACAGGCAGTTGTTAGCTGCCATGTGGGTGCTGGGATTCGAACCTGGGTCTTTTGTAAGAACAGCCAGTGTTCTTAACTGCTGAGCTGTCTCTCCAGCCCCACATTTCTTACTTTTAAGTTGGATCTTTCACCTCAATTTTTTTGGTTAATTATGGTTTCTAACTTCTAAACTGCTTATATGTGTTCTTTGCTCATTTATGTAGGATCTTTAACATTTTTCTTGCAATAAACATCAGTCCTATATGTATTAAATATAGCAATCCATAAATAATCATATTTGTTTCTATGGTTTGAGTATTATTTTTAGTAAGAAAAAAATAGTGAAAATGTAGCACATAATAAAGATGGTAACAAATTCTTCCTTAGTTAAATCGTTTACGCAACTTTTTCAAAATAAAACTTGTTTTTTTTTCTAATCATTCTTAGACTCTTAAATTCTGATAGAATGCAAAAATCCATTAGGGTTTTAGTTGTATTAAACTTATACATCTTGGGCTGGAGAGTTGGCTCAGTGGTTAAGAGCACTGATTGCTTCTGCAGAGGACCCAGTTTTGATTCTCAGCACCTACATGGCAGCTAACAACCATCTGGAACTCCAGTTCCAGGGATCTGATGCCCTCTTCTGACCTCTGCAGGTACTGCATGAGATGGGTGCACCTACTTACATGCAGGCAATACACTCATACATATAAAATAAAAATAATAAATAAAATATTAAAAACTTATTCGTTTTATTTATAATTCATTTCCACCAAGCCTAAAATGGTGACTCATGTATTTTATTTAAGATTCCCTACATCAGTTCTTTTCTTCCTCTTTCTCTCCTCTCTAGTTCTCTCTCTCTCTCTCTCTCTCTCTCTCTCTCTCTCTCCCCTCCCTCTCTCTCACAGCAAATAAATGAACAAACTTAACAGCTCCAGTCTCTCCTTGAGTTCCTCAGAGGTTGCAGTCAAGCAAGAGCTGGAATTAGAATTCAGCTTCAACTAAAATGGTCACCAAAGATGGCCCTTGAATCATAAGCCAAGCTCCTCTGTGTTCCTTCTCATGCATGCACCCCTCCCCACTTCCTCACATGATGCCTCATGGCTGCAAAAAGTGAGGTTGTTTTTCTTAAGGCAATTCCTACATTTGGTACAGGGTTCTTTCTGTCATGTTCTGCTGATCAAATACCTGACAGCCCAGATTCCAGAGAAATAGTCACCGCTTAATAGAAAGGAGCCTCTGTAAGTGGGATGGTCTGCCTTTAAGTTTGTGTTGCTGTAATCATTTATATGCTTCTCTCTTTTACAATTTACTAACTAGTTAGTGCTGTATGAAGGAAAGCTATTATCTTATTTATCCTAATTACTCTTCAGCTTAAAATTTTGGTTCTTCTAAGTGACACAATAGTAGCTTTTTCCTCTTCTTTATGAATAGTGAGATGTTTTATTTCCATCTCATATCTACTGTAGTGGTTAAGATGCCTAAGGGAAAGCTAATAGAAAACCACTATCTTTTGTTTCTGTTGTATAAATCAGTCTGTCTCTCTCTCTCTCTCTCTCTCTCTCCTCCCTCTCCCTCTCCCTCTCTCCCTCCATCTCTTCTCCCCCCACCCCCAATTCTTGAGCTCAACCAAGAGCCTTTTACAGGCTCCACAAATGCCTTACCACTGAGCTATGTCTCCAGTACTGTTGCCTAATTATTAAAATAGAAATATGCTCAAGCTATAAACTGGACTTAAAAAATCAATACACCATTTCTCAGAACTAAACTAAGTTCTATACTTCTGTGTACCCATATAATGAAAGTAAATAGAGAGTAGCTTCTTGTTCCACATAAGTTCAGGGTGGAGGCAGTAAGCAAGACAAATATGTCTTGGATACTGCAATATTTTCTCCCCTAAAATCCATAAATTTCCAGAAATAAATCACAGCCATAAAACATTCTATTGATTCTCTCAAGCAGCAAGTATCTCTAAATAAATATAAGACATCTTAAATCACAGCAATTTCTTTTCTTCCCAAGGTTGATTTACGTACTAGATATACTGAGTCATTTCAACTGTACAAGTAGGATTAGCATGTGATTCTTGTACTCACACGTGGTGGTAGATATTCCTTCTGTGGAGCATAATCTTCAGAATATGTTGTCAAAGCACACCTAGGAGGGGGAAGATAAAGAATGATTCCAGAAAGAAGATAATTTACATGAAACAAAGACATTTCAGGAAAGAATGATACTAATAAAATGGGAAAATCCACATGTTCCTAGGCCCTTTTTATAGTGTTTCCTATCCCCAGCAAGTACTATCTTCAATTATTTCTAGTTCTTCATAAGCCACTATGCTCCTGTACTAATACTTGTAGCTACCAAGTCCCACATCCTTATCCTAGGTGCTCTACATTCACGGGAATCTCTTTATCACCCCTTTTCTGCCTCTGAAACCCCATGACCCCATGTCCCACATCCTCTGCCAGCTGACAATTAAAGATATAGCAGAAGACACCTAGGTGGCTGACCACAGACTGTCCCAAGCTCCACAGATCACTAAACACACAAAAATGCTAGATGACTCATATACCCACACCAAGTGCATTAGCCTAGCCAAGCTCTAAAGGGTACCCCTGGGATGCTGGAAATGAACACACTGTACACATTACAATGGGAATCACAAAATCTGATGCCCTAAGCCTAGAGTGGGAAGTTTTAACTATAGATTAAGAAGTGATCTTAGGTTCCACCTGTCTTCCCATAAATGAGACCAGAGAAACTCCAGCTACCAGCCTAGAGAAAACTTATAAAAAGCTTTGGAGCTTTGGAGAAAAGTTTATTCTCCTACAGAAAATAAAGACTCGCTTCGATTTCTGGTAGTATTATAGGAGTAGACAGTCAGAGAAAATATTTTGTTTTTTTGGAAAGTAAGAATATTCAACAAGAATATCAAAATAACAAAATCCACCTCAAGCAGGTGCTAGCATTTAACCTGGTGGTAACCAGCGGCTCCCACCAGCTCTCACAGCATCACTCCTTGAATAGCAGTAGCAACACCTGGGAGCCTGAGAGTTATGAAGGCATCATCATCCTTGGGCTTTAGAGAGAGACTTCAGTAGATACCAACACCTACGGATGCCCAAGTTCCTTATGTAAGTTTGCAGCTACATATGGCTTGTGTACATCCTGCTATACACTATTAATCATCTTTAGATTACTTATGATACCTGACATAATGTTAATTCTGTATAAGTAGCTCTAAACACTACATGGTTTCAGGAATAATGGTAAGAAAAAAAGTCTGCACACATTCAGAAAAGAGTGATTTCCTTCCAAGCATTTTCAGTCCATGGTTGGTTGAGCCTGTATACCTGAAACCCATGAATGTTACTGCAGGTGGGTCCTGCCCCAGTTCTACTAATTAGAAACTCCAAGGGCAGAGTCCAGTATTCTATAGCTTAACAATCCCTCTATGTTATTCTGATACACACTTGAGTTTGACTGCTTGCTGATGAGTAAAACAACAGAAATTGGAAGTTCACAAGAGATGGAGGAAGGGAGAAAAGCCTTAAATGATGGAGGGCGAGAGTAGAACACACATGATATGAGGTAGAGGTGGGGGAATTACTTGGGGATTAAAAGTAAAGCAGAGATAAGGGTGGAAGGATGGGAAGGAGGAAGGGGTAGGGGTATAGTAACTAAAACTAATATGTATGAAAAAGTCTTATGGAAACCCACTGCTTTGTAGGCTAATTAAAAATATGTAAATTATAAAAAGAAGTTTGAGATAATAACCTGCAAAGGTGAACAACGCTTCCCGCAGAAGACATGGGCTGTTAAATGAAAACTTCAGTACCAGGTATGGTATATGAAGTTATTAGTCAGGGAGGCCCCAGAGGTCCCCCAAATAACACAATCTATTGTCACTGCTCTTGGTTTCCCTCTATAGCTAGGTGGTAAGATCCTGTTTCTGAAAACACAATATACTTTGGTTGAAGGCATAGAGAAATCAAGCTGTGACTGATCTGGATACTTTCTCCTTACTAGCTAGCTTTCATAATGTTGGAAAGTGTTATACAGGCCACTGGAGATGGGGTTCTGTATGGAAAGAGCCATCAGTGGACTTGCCAGTGGTGGATTCTACATGCTACAGTATAGACCTGCCAGGCAAGATGCGCTCACTGGTGTAATAGTTTCATAACTATTATGGGGATAACGAATCTCTTTCTGATTGGATATGAGACCTGTTCCACAAGAGGAAGTTCATGCCTAGCACTGTAAACCTGGTCAGAATCCTATGGCTAGGAAAGCCCTAGGCACCATGGAAGAGCCCACTACTGTTGCTTTCCTAAATGGGCATGTTGTCAAGCTACCTATTACCCTGTAAATATTTATATTTACATCCATAGATTAGTGCTGCTCTCAGCCTTGGTCAGAGAACCTTGGTCAGGCTCAGGGAACACATGGAAGAAGGAGCAGAAGAATGTAAGAAATGGGGGAAGAAGAGGAGTACTCTGCAATGCTGTCTTCTGAACTTGATGACATGGTCACTGCACTCATGAGCTCACCCTAGGTGCTGGGGGAGGAGAGTCATTTTTTTTTCTTTGAAAGTGTTGCCACTGGTAGGTTGCCCATGCTCCAGATGAAGAAGGAGGAGGAGGAGGAGGAGGAGGAGGACGAGGACGAGGAGGACGAGGAGGACGAGGAGGACGAGGAGGAGGAGGACGAGGAGGAAGAGGCAGGGGGAGGGGAGGAAGAGGGGGAAGGGGAGGGGGAGGGAAAGGAAGAAAAAGAGGAATAGGAAGTTGTGGAAGAGGAAAAAGAAGAGGAGGAGGATGGGGAGGAAGGAGAAAGGCAGAGGGGGAGGAAGACATGAAGGTGGAAGGGAGAAGTATTGGGGGGCATTCAGGGGAAGTTGGAGGGGGGGTTTGGATTGAATATGATCAAGATACATGTATACATATATGAAACTGCAAATAAATAAATATTCTAAAAAGAATTGGAAGTTCAACTTTCAAACCAGCAAATGAGGGACAGAGAGAAAAGGAAAGAGAAATAAAGAGGGTGGTCAACTTATAGGAAGGAAAGGAAAATGAGTAGAAAAAAATCAGCAACCACAATAAAAGTAAAGGATTTAAACTTAGTGAAAGGAATTTTTGTCCTTAAATATCAAACTATTTCTTAAATGTTCATCTATATGCTTTAATATTTAGCATAAAATTATTTTCAAAGAAAGTTTGAAAGTAAAAATATATAAATATGCTTAATTTAAATATATATACAAATATTAACCAAGAAGAATTTTCTTAAAGTAATAGCACACGTAAAAGACCCTAAATAAAAAACACTAGTTATAGAGATAATTACCCATAATTAAAGGAACAAGTCACCAAAAATACATAAAACAATTCTAAATCAACAAACCTAACAAAGTATAAAATATGTAAGGATCCCAAAGATGAAATGACAAATCTATAGTCAAAACGAAAGATTATAAAGCATTCCTTCACCTTTGGCTCCTTAAATAAAATCTACATATATCCTCCAAAGCTGTGTACGTCAAAAGTAAAGGAAATTAAATCGCACCTTGCCCCTAAGGTGAACATAAAGGAGCACAGAAAATACAACTGCTAATAGAATTCATAGATGTCCCTGCACAAACACCAAGTCAAAATGGAGTTACCCGTGCTGAAATCCATGCCAGAACTAAGGAGCTTTATTGGGGAAAGCTGCTGTTAAGGTGGACTCCTTTCTCAGCAGGGTCTTCCTGCTCTCTGCCTGCCTTATCTGGAAAGTGCCTCCAAGCACGGATGCCTGGCCTTATTTGGAACATGATCTTTGGCATAGTTTCCTGCAATAAAACTGCCCCCAGGTTTTTTTCTATATAATAATTAGGCATTGCCCTATAGCCAGATGATAGGATCCACCTACCACATGTAAATAAAGCATACTATGAGCACCTATCAGCTGAAGCTTTGGCTGCTACCTCCACACTATATTTTCCCTGACACCCACTGAATAAACGGAGCTGTATCACTGAATCTGACTCCTCGGAACGTTTTTTCCATCTGTGCTCACTGGCCGTCCTGACCCCTTTTGTTGCTTCTGCTCCCTTTATTCTTGTGGGTTGGTGGCCAACGGCCCATGAGGGGAGGGAGAGACCCACAGAGCTTATCTGATTTTTCAAGAAATGAAAAATATCCACTACACTTTGAGTCCCCTACAGCCTGAGCAACTCCAATTTCTCCAACCCCACACCCTGTTCCCCTTCTAGCCTTGGGCACAGGGCCACTTTTACTCATTGTGCCCCAGATCTCTGAACTACACTGGAGACTAGCCTTCTTCCCTGCCTAGTTTTATAGTCCCTTCACAGGCTATCCCCAACCTCACCTTGCCTTGGATTCCTGAGACCAGCCTTCTACCCTTTCCACCCACTACCCTGACGTGCCTACTACTGACACCAGCCTAATACTCTGCAAGAACCTGAAGCACACAACAACTAACCTGTCATAGCTGACCAAAAAGCAACCCAGCTACATCAACAATATAAACAGAACCAAAGCTAAGACAGAGAAAGAATAGAATTTTCTATTAAACACACAACCAGCAAAAGACATCAATATGCCCAAATGGCATATGCAAAAACACACATAATATGAAAAACCAAGAGAATATATCCCCAACAAAATCCATCAGTCCTACAGATATATACTACAATGAGAATCACCGTGATGTGATGAAGAATTTAAGAGAACAATTATAAACATGATCAAAGAACTTAAAGAAAACACAGACAAACAACTCAAAGAATTCAAAGAAGATAGGCATAAATTTGTAATGGAAGCTCAAGAATATACAAATATGTGGCTTAATAAAATACCAAAAACAATTCAGGACTTGAAAAGTGAATTCACAAAAGAGATAGAAAAATTGAAGAAAACCTAAACTGAAATGAACACAAAATTGAAAAACTCAATAAGCCAATTGGAAACAACAGGAGAAAGCCTCACAAGCAGAATAAATGAAACAGAAAACAGAATATCAAGACTGGATGACAAAGTTGAAGATCTGGAATTCTTAAGCAAAGACTATGTAAAAATTTTAAAAACATAGGAATGGACTACACAGAAAATGTGGGACAACATGGAAAGACCAAATCTATGCCTCAT